CAGAAGGAGGAGACAGTCACACTGTGTGTTCAGATACTGTGCAGTCAGACTCCTCCAGCTGGTCTTTGCATATGTGACAGTGTTACAACAACTTTATCTGAAACAAGAGTCTACTGTAGATTTCAACGAGTTCATTTTATCTAAATGATTATATGAACAATTATTATGATGGCAAACTGGCAAAGAATTGTAGTCTTCTTCACATATTTCTGGGGTAAGTAAAATTCTGTAAAAACTGTTTTAATGCTAATATAAACAAAATCTAAAAACTTTTTTTATACTACTATAAACAAAATCTGATCCTCAACAGTGTTGTTTTGCATTACATTACAGGATGTGATTCTCTGGACAGTGTTGAACAAAATACAACAGTTCAAACTGCTGTTGAAGGAGCCGCTGTAACAATCAGCTGTCAATATGAAACCACTGATATATCACCAGATCTCTTCTGGTACCAGCAAAAAGTAAATGGATTCCCTGAATACATGCTGAATAGATTCGGTACAAATGATAAGCACTTCAAGGAAAGATTTAACGGTGATCTCAACACAATTTCAAAATCATTTCCACTGACAATCCAGGATGTGCGTGTGTCTGACTCTGCTGTGTACTACTGTGCTCTGCAGCCCACAGTGACTAAAACACACTCAACATTCATGCAAAAACCCTGTGCGCAAGTTTTGTTTTTGAACCTTTGATGTGATGTGACTACTGCTTCCACTGTTATAAAGCCTCTGTCAGCCTAAATCTCACTTAATAACAATTAATAATAAATTGCCACAAATGCTAAAAATTGCTTTGCCAAATGCTACTAACATAATATATTCTTATATCTTTATAAAATCCTCTAAAAACTATTTTATTTGATTTAATTCTATATCTTTTTTTCTATATTACTTTGGAAGCTGCCTCAAATGGGACACAGATGGTAAAATATTTTAGTCTGAAGGTGGTGATATCTACACGACACCACCTCAGATTTATATTCTAAAGAAAACATCTGCTGTTGAACATCACCATCAACATGACAAGCAGGAAACAAAGCGTCTCCTACAGTTTAACTTCTCAATTTAACTTTCTTTCATAAACAAAGATATTTCTTTTATGCATTTTTGCCTTTATAGCATCATAAAACTGTCATCAAATTGCAACTGTAAGTTTTAACTGTAATATTAATATCACATTGTATAATGTATAATTATGTTGTCATGCAGGATGCTTTAGCAAAGACAATGTTAATC